TTGGAAAACGTCAGGGAGACGAATTTGAACTAGAACAATATCTACAGTACTCATTTTTCCATTTGTAAAGTATACCTTCTAATCCAAAAGTTGAAGCTCAAATTTTTCTTTTTCAAATGTATACTTTAAAAAAATTATGTGCTCGTAAATGCAAATATATATATAATACTATATAAATTATATTTAATTATATTAAATTAATTATTAAATAAAAATTAAGTATATGATATTGCACTTTCTCTTTATTTTTCTTTGAACTTAAAAAATTTTTAAGAATAAAAATCAATAGTGTCTATATATAAAACCTAAAATTTTATATTCGAATATATCTTCTTTAAAAAGTATAATTATTAAACCACATAATATTAAACTCTCTCCGTAGCTAATTTAAATTGTAAAACATGATTGTCCGCACATGGTGACTTATTGGCCACTCTCTTCGTACATGCGTAGGATTAATGAGACCTGGGATCAAATCCCAGGTCGCTTCCCTTTCCCCGGAAAAAAAACAAAAGTTTTCCACTGTTTAAAAAAAAAAAAATTGTAAAACATGGTTAAAAAAAAAAAAAAAAACTGCAACGTCCCTGACTTTTTCCTCCGCGTCCTCACGCAAAACTATTTACGTGGACTTGCACTATTCATCCCTGGCCTTTACTGCCCTGTGTTCCTTGGGGTTTCATAATCATCACAATTGTTGCGGAGAGCTTCACGAATAGATTTTCTCATAGAAATTGTAAGTTAATTCGAAACCCCATCAGGTAGCTTCTTCTCAATCATGGCAAGTCGTCGAATTTTCCGGTTTTTTGTATACTGATTTTCTTTCTGTGGTCTTGCTATTTGATTTAGAATCTTGCATGGTGTGCTCTTAAAGAAATCTTGAATTTTTCTGTCATCTATGCGTAAAAAGTCCCGATTTTTGTTTAATTCTTAGGTGCTGCTATGCTTTCCATCGATTTGTCTTCTGATTAATCCAATGCCTGCAATATCTTCTTTGCCCCTCTTTGTCTAATTTCATTCTGGGGTTTTTGAACTATGCTGTGTGCTTTTTGAGAGGAATACAGATGGTGCATTCCATTGGCCTAAGTTTTATACACGCTACCATACATCCTAGTTTGTGATTTGTAAGTGTGACTTGTAGGAAAAAAAAAGGGTTAAAATGAGGCCGGCCAAAGCCATTGGAAGTAGGATGACATTTATGGGTAGAGAATAGAAGCAAAGAGTGGCAAAAGAAACATCTGAACTGAGTTTTCATAGGAATTGAACCAAGGATCAATATCTGGAGAATAACATCTATTCATTTTTTTTCCCTGTATTTCTCCCTTGAGAATAAAATAGTTACAAAAATAGGTTTTTTTTATTTATGAGAACATAAAAAATAATACGTTTGAATAATTAAAATATTAAAGTTTTTTATAGAATTATTTAAATACGCTCAATAAATTATTAAATATAAATATTCATTAAAATATTTAAATAATTTTATTTTGAATATCAAGAGATGCTAAGTTTTACTGTTCTCGCCCTTTTTTTTAAATTATTATTATGGGTAGGTCTGTAAGAATATATGCCCTTGAATTGATTCTGTAATAGTTGAAACTTTGTTCCGTGTCCCTGATGTCCTCTTTTTCTTTATTTAACATTTTTTATTATTGGCTTGAGAACAAAAAAGGATTAAGACAAGCACTTTCATTTTTGCTCTCAGGATTCAGACTTTGAACACCATGTTTAAGTTCCCTGATCATCAAGTTGCAGGGCACCAAGCCTGTCGTGGACAGCTTGGACCCTTAACAGATGATTCAGGACGTTTCTACAAGCCTCTTCAGGATGGTGAACGTGGCTCCAAAGAGGTGGCTTTCTATACAATGTTCTCATCCAATACAAGCATTCCAGGTCATATCCACAAATTCTTTCCTGTTTTCTATGGCACTCAGCTGGTAGAGGCATCTGATGGATCTGGCTTGTGCCCCCACCTTGTCTTGCAGGATGTTGTCTCGGGTTGCTGCAATCCATCCATCATGGACATTAAAATTGGATCCAGAACATGGCATCCTGAAGCCTCTAATGAATATATTGAAAAGTGCTTAAAGAAGGATAGAAAATCTACCAGTGTGTCATTGGGGTTCAGAATGTCTGGGTTGCAGATATTTGAATGTAAGGAGTCTGGATTCTGGAAACCAGGAAAGAAGCAAGTTAAGGATTTCACTCCAGAGGATGTTAGACTAGTTCTGAGGAAGTTTGTTTCATCTAACTCTTCTGTTGATTCAAGGAATCCTGATTGTTCTTTTGCCCATAGTGTTTATGGTGGTTCTGCTGGGATTTTGGCACAATTACTGGATCTAAAAGAATGGTTTGAGAATCAAACCATGTACCATTTCTATTCTTGTTCGGTTCTTATGTTTTGTGAAAAGGAGCCATTGCTGGAGGGAAGGGCTTCTGTTGCTGGAATCAAACTCATAGATTTTGCCCATATCGTGGAAGGCAAAGGTGTTATTGATCATAACTTCCTGGGAGGGCTTTGCTCTTTGATAAAGTTTGTCTCTGAGATTCTTGATAGTTCAGATGAGTCTGCGACCAAAGCCTGTGACCAAAGCCTGCAATCGGGAATCCAAGAAGACATCATTTCTGCTGATAATGGCCAGAACCAATAGGGAACATTGAACTTTACCATTGTGCTGTTTTTCCCTCACCGCTACAGTGTTATGTGTAGCGTTTTTATTAATAACATGGCCAAAATGGGATTTTGTAGTTTTAGTTTGGTTAAAATCTCTGAATTACCTTTAACTGGACATTGTCCTAATTTGTACGCGGAGTTGTGTGTCTGTTTTAGCTGATTTTTCCATGACATCTGAAAATTTCCTTCCCGCTTTCTCATTAAGGGCTTGGCAACTATTAGGGATTCTGTATCATTTAATATTTTTTATTCAATGAAAGATTACATTTTTTTCCCTGAGGAAAGGATTGTGTTTTATAATTTAATTAATGTTTTTGCCAATAATTTATGCTATTTAATTTTCTTGTATGTTCCTATTGATCAAGGCAGAGCAGCAAACCCTTTAATGCCCCTCAACACTGTAGACATGGACCCTCTTTGCTATGATGTCGGAAACTACTAAAACGAGAAGAAATGATACAAAGAAGTGTAGGCTTTAAGACTCAGCTTTACACATCCTGAAGCTTAATTTTGGTGCAAATATTCTATGATATTCTTTTATGTACTAAACATCTCTTAATCTTGACATGATAGGTTAGTTTCTATATAGAGCTCCTAAAAATTACAGTGTGTCGATCGGACTTGTCAAGAAATTTCAAAAGGCTATATCAGTGGACCCTTTTTCCTTCCCTGTGATGGCAAGAAAAACTGTAGACATGGGACTCTTTTTCCAGGGGCTACACCATAGAATTTTCTGTCACTTTCTTGGAAGATTGGTGGGAAATGTCATTACAGAACCGATCAACACAATGCTAGTGCTTTAAGCATATAGACTTCCAGCCAACCAGGTATACCTTTCTTTAAAGAAATGCACTTCTTCTAACATAATCCACTAGAAATCCAGTAGTGAACTCCAAGCCTCAAAAAGTACATAACTTCTATTTCTTGCAAACTCTAGGTTTAATTATATATAATCATTGCATTAAAACGCAAGCTTACATATCCATAGTTTGCTAAGATTCAAAGATGAATTTAACGCTTCTTTTTTGCATCATTTTCTGCACTTGCATCAGCATCTGCTTATCTGATTCAGGTAATCTCCAGGATACTTGTCCAAGAGGAAGCCAAACCGCATTCATCAATGGTTTGCTGTGCAAAAATCCATCCGACGTCAGTGCCTCGGACTTCGGGAGTTCAAAGTTGGGGGATGCTGGTGAAATTGACATCGTAACGCGTTCAGCAGTGTCCATTGCCACAGCCAAGGACTTCCCTGGGCTGAACACTCTAGGCCTCTCAGTTGCTAGAACTGACCTTGAGTTAGATGGCATTGTGGTGCCTCACTCCCACCCTAGGGCCACTGAGATGTTCTTTGTCTACAAAGGGGAAGTGGTTGCTGGCTTTATTGACACCAATAAAAATCTCTTCAAGAAGATCCTGCGTGAAGGAGATGTGATTGTGTTCCCCAGAGGCCTGCTTCATTTTTGCTACAATAATGGCTTCGAGCTTGCAACAGCCTACTCCTTTTTTAATGGTCAGAATCCGGGAGTAGTAAGCATCACTGATGCCATAGTCAGTTCTGATTCTGATATTATGAGCAAGATAAAAAAGAGGTTGATTTCTGCTTCTGAATCAGAAGTATCATATAACTAGTGCTATGCTGTCTGGATTCTCCGGTCTACATTGCATGAAACCTTGTAAGATTTCTTCACAGATGTGTAAGTTTGTTGGTTGCTATAAGGAGTGCTAGTATTTATTTGCCTCTTGTAAACTTGAACTTGTGTGCATCATCAGCAACTGAATTTTCTTCTTTTTGCTTATCGAAAGTTGGGGAGATTCAATGTGTATTTGTAACTTTGTTGTCGTCAAAGCTTGATGATATTTATTCTTAATTATTAATTTATATCACAACTTAAACTTTATAATTCATAAATTCATATATAAAATCTTATTTTTTATAACTATAAAAAGAAAACTATTATATTGAAGGAAGTTTTCATATTTAGTAGTATCTTCTAATCTAATAGTTAATTTTATATAATTTAGACGGAATCTAACGTGTGATTATGTGAATGATTAGAGGGACAAAATAAAGGGAATTTTTGAATTACCTAAAGAATTAGAAAATGAAATATCACATATCAGGGACTGAATTGAGACTTTAAAAAGTAGAAATGATACTTTAACAGTATCAACAAAATGAAGGCGTCAAACTGAAACTTAAATAGGTTCCATATATAAATATCATTTTTCGAAACGGTCATTCATTTCCTCAAAACGATTCCGCGCCAAATCAAATCCCCAATTCACTGAAGAGAATCGCAGAGAACCTGACGGAGAAGAAGAAGGAGAGAAATGGTGCTGGTGTGTTTCTTGCTGGATCTGCGCAGCCTCTCGCCTTCACTGCTCAGAGACCTGAAGCAGGTACCGATCCATTCATACCTATAATGGAATCGATGGGATGAATCTGTTGTAATGGACTGATTTAGCATTTGTTGAATTCGGCAGTCGCTGCTGCAGCTGTCGAATTTCTACGCTGTTTCATCGCCGTGGAGGAGCCAATCGGAGTCTCTCAGAGGTCGGTTTGGTCTCTGTTATCTCTTCAAAAATAGCGTTTCATCTTCCGATGAGGTACCTCTTTTTCAAGTTAATCAGTGATTCCTGATGCATGAGATGTGTTTGAGTAAATTCTTGAATGAATGAATGAAGTGAAATTCGTATATTGAATGCAGCTGAGGGTCGCATATAGTCCTCAAGGGAACTTCAGCCTCCGGGATTTCCACCATGCTGTTAACAACGTGCCGACTGATGCGTTTTTGCCTGAGATCAGCGGTTCTGGATCTCTCTGTCCAAGAGGTCTTTCTCTCTCTCACTGGCTAAGAATTCGATTGTTTCTTTTGATTATTTAGGGAGAAAAACGTTGCTTATTGTTAGGACCTAAATAAAAAATGGTTAATTTTGGCAGATGTGAAGCTTTCCAGTGTTTTGAGTGATCAAGTTTTGTACTCCTGGGGAGGTAAAGATATAGTGCGAAAAGTGATTTTTTTGAGCTCTTCTTTACCTCAAAAAGTAGACTCTGCCTTGAAAAAGACACTCATGGTGAGCTACTGAGCTAGTACCGGGAAAACTTTAGGAATTTTTTTTGTCATTTTTTCTCTCTCCATTTGGTTCTTTATTGAGATAACCTGTATCTTCGTTTTCTCACAGGATGCAGCAGATAAGTGTGTTTCGGTTGAGTTTATTTTGCTTGAGCAGAAATCAAACCACCTTGTTGATATAAGGGAGAGTATTAATAGCTTCGTCAGCAGTATATCTGATCTTGATAACTGTTCCTTTCAAAATTTCCTTCCAGGTTGGACACTAAGCTCCAATGATTGAGGGTCAAGAAAGATGATTAATGTTTTTGTAGTAGCCAGTAGTCTTTTACAAATGATAACTAGTAAAAATCAATATGCATTTCAACCGTGTTGCTCGTACTTACCATTTGGCATTTATGAATAGGAGGAATAGAAAATACAAGCTGATAAATATAATGTAGATAATTACATAGTTACAACCTACAATGTATGGACCATAAGAGTTTTTTTTCTGGAAGGGAAAAACATGAAGAATCTAGTGCTTATGATCAAATGCTTGTTTTTTTTATTATTTTTATTGGAAAATGAATTGAGTTGGGAAGACATGCAAGTCCTTGAGATTCTTGATTGTGGCATAGGCAGAGTAGAATCTCTTACTCACAAACAACACTCACAGTTGGGAAGTCATTCAATACCTAGAGCCTGAGTGCTCTAACAATAGTTGCCAAGGTGCTTAGCATTTCATTCCTGCAACTATGTTGAAGAACTTGTATGTTTTATCACTACAAGATACGTCCTCACTTACAATTTACCTTGTGGTATTAATATTCAAAGATTTCCAGATGTGAAGGTACTCCATAGCCTGATAAAGAGGTGGCTACAAGATCTAAAGGATGATATGGAAGAGCCATTCCAAGCTCATTTTATCTTCAAGAGTGACCTTGTCGGCTCTGTGAAGCAAATATCTTGTAACCTGTCTGCTTCTGTCAGTCATATTGTTGATGGATTTACCCCTCATCAGGTTTTGAACATGAATCTTACGTTGGGTACACTTTAGTATATGTACTCATGAATTGTTGATTATTCACTTTTATTTAATATGAGGTTGGGGATAATTAAGTCATGTTCAAAAAATCAGACATTTGTGCATCATGTAAGGACTAGATCTATGGTAATCTTAGGAGTTAGGACATCAAGTGGTAACATCAGTGACAGAAAATTCCTATGGGTTACTGAAGCCCTTGTATTCTACTTGAACTTTATATTTAAAATATGATGCAATCATTAAATTTATTTCTTAAGCATTTTTTCCTTCCAATATTCAAGACAGCTTAATTTTTGGTTGTCATGAGCTTTTATTCTTTAGAAGATCTTAAGTACTCTCCAACTGCCCAATGTGATTTATGGACCAATTTCACAGCTGTGGGATGTGGTGCAAATGGGCTGTTAAGACATTTTTTGCTCTTATCATTATTTTGGGCATTAACAAAGGGAATAATCTTCTAAAGTTCATTAGACTTCTAGGGATCTGTGTTATCATACTGGGCATTGTGCATAAAGACAAACTCCAGATATATATTTATAGTCAAATTGTTCCACTGTTCATTTGAATCATTTCTGTTTTTACTCTTCCTTTCTATATCAATTAAACTTAAAAATCTCATGTTAAAGTAGATTAACAATCATTTGATCTATCAACTATAGACATGCAGTTGTCATGGCATTGCATTGAGCAATGCTGTAAAAAATAGAACCGGAGGGCCTTCTTGTCCAGTCACAGGCCGTGATCTCAGAGCAGTTGATGTGATAGAAAATTCTGTGAAGGTTGGAGAAAAAACTATTCTGTTTATGCCCTCTTTCCAGAGCTCTATGAAACTTCAGCAAGTTTCTTCACCTGTTGATTTCAACATTATACAACGGACCAACTTGGGGTCTCTAAGTGAAGGTAGATTTTAATCATGCAGCTCTACATTCTTGACATTTATTACACATTTTTGTATCATAAAAGTTGTTTTTCTTGTTTATTAATTTCATTCCTATGTTACTAGAGTCTAGGAAATCTCACCAAATCATGGGAAATTCTGTTTAATGGATGAAATGTTGAAATTTTAGTAGCTCCAGATGCTTAAGCCTTAGTTTCTGTATATAAATACATCTACTGAGTACTGACTGATAAACATAAGCTGCAAATCCTCAGTTATGCTGGTTACCTTGCTTATGGAGTACATGTTTTGTTGATTGAATACAGTTTGACACCTTAATTAATGTGACTTAATATTGATTCTAAGGTTTTTATTTTCTTAGTGATGTTAATGCAAATGTATTTCCAGAGGGATAAGCTTGCATAATGCATGTGCACAAGGACACCACAATGAAGTGTCAGAAAAATAACCAATATTTCATTGCTTTTCTCCATTTTTGTCTTGGAGTGCTTTGTCCTTCTTTTGGATTCATCTTTGCTTTCACAATGTGATCCACAAATCATTGCAGCCTCTGTCACTTGGTGTAAATTCTCTCTCTTTTTTATCATTTTTAACACAGGTGTTATATTTGGGGATTCCTATATTGTAACTCCATCAGCTTCTTCTGAGATAGATGGTGCTTTAGATGAAACAGAACAATCAGAGTTGAATGCTCAACGTGCGTCCAAGGCCTTTGCTTTAAATCCTGATTTGCAATTAGAAGAGAATGTTCAAATCATGCAGTTTATATTGGATCTATAAATTGTGCTCTGATTCTAAACTTATCTTGAGTTTTAATACCGGTCAAAATCTGTAATTTTGGGCAGTTTTTCGTGCACTTTGTGGTGCTTTACATTCACTGGACCAAGGTCTGGTATGCTCTGCCAAATGTAATATACAAACAATGAGGGAGACTTCATTCCACTGCTATTATATACTTCAACCTTCCAATGGTGGACCTATGCTTCTCAGGGTAAACACTGAGCTTTCTATATTACTGGCTAATGAGTCATGCTATCATTACTAATATAAACTTCCATTCAAGTGCCCTTCCTCTAGTTCTTATTTTTGTTCATAGTTTTTGCTGACTCTGTTTCATCTGAGTTGGTTAACTATTGCAAAACTTGCAGCGCCTTGCAGGATCAGAGGAAATCTTGCCTGTTCCTGATGTCAGTCAATTTGTTGACTGTTCAGTGCCTAAGGAGATTGAAATGTCCATTCAAACCAGTTTATTGAAGGTTGATTTTCATTTTCCTTCATGGTTTTTCTGATCTCTTCTTCTTTCCTTTTTCTTTTTTTGTTCTAGCTTCACTTAATTCCCAGTTGTATACTGCACAAATTGTCCTGATTTGCTGTCAAGGGTAACATTGGCATGAAACATAATCCATGAAGCTGGGTAAGACTCGTATGGGATTGGCCAAAAACCAAAAAGATAGTATGGGAAAATGTAATGTATGCCACTCTCTAAGTAGTAAGCACCATCAGCCAAATCTGTTTTTGGTAGTCTAGAGTTGGAATTTAACTCCAAACCTGGAATTTATTATTATTATTTTTTCTTTCCAGATATTACTTTAGATATGCTGGTTTAAACTGTGCATTTTGCTCTCCCTTACTATTTTTTTCGTTCCAAATTTATGGCAGCTGGATTCAAGAGACTACAATCCAGTCCTGTATGAGAGAGGTTTTCATCAAAAACTTAACTTGCTTGTAAAGGAGAGCTTACAATTTGGGTAATTATGCATTTGCATCTGCCTTTAATTTTCCGAGTGGCTGCACATCTTATGATTTGTTTGAGACTATGCTCCATTTAGGTAATGAAATATGCAACC